GCAAAGCCCACACCCTGCAAGGGGTGCGCTGCTGAGCTCTGGGACCCTGGGATATACATGAGGGTAGAGTAATGCATGTTGGAGCAACAAGTCTCAACTGCAGGCAGACACTGATTGGATCTGGGCCGGCAGTGACTGAGCGAGAAGGGGACCTCAGGGCAGAAGAGGACAGCTTGATGAAAATGCTGTGCAGATGGCAAACTGCCTGCTAGGCACCCCTGGGGATGGAATAGGAGTGGAACTGCCAAGATCTTATTCCCGTTATACAAATCGTTGGTGCCACTGCACTTGGAACACCGTCTTCAGTTCCCGTTGCCTTACCTGAAAAAGGGCATTACTGAGTTGGGAAAAGTACAGAGAAGGGCAACAAAAATGATCAGGGGGCTAAAGCAGATCCCCTGTGAAGGGAGCTCATAATGCATGGTGCAGAGAGAGTAGAGAAGGAAACATTCTCTCCCTCTCCCATGACACTTGAACCTGGGATAAGGTGGGAGGCTTAGGACTGATAAAAGGACTGATAAAAGGAAGGACTTCTTCACACAGGATTCAGTTAAACTATGGATTTTGCTGCTATGAGAAGTGATGGTGGCTGCCAAAAAGGGATTGAGCAGATTCATGTGGGAGGAGGCTAAGAGTGGCTACGAGTTCTGCTGACTTCGTGCTATCGCCTTTACCAGTGGTGGAGTGCCTGTGCATGCCAGTTGCTGAGGAGCTGGGCAGGAGGAGGACTTGCACCCATCCTGCTGGAGGGATCCTGAGGACAACTGACTTGCCACCTTGTGTACAGAGTGCTGGACTAGATGGACATTTTGCCTGATCCAGCAGGGCTTTTCTTTTCTTCTCACGGAATCATAGAAGAGTAGAGTTGGAAGGGGCCAGGAAGGCCATTGGGTCCAACCCCCTGCTGTTGCAGGACACCAACTTGCACCCTCCCACTCAGAGGGCTGTCCAGGTTCTCCTTGAATGTCTCTACTGTGGGAGAGCCCACCACCTCTCTGGGCAGCTGGTTCCACTGTTGTAGTGCTCTCACAGTGAAGAAACTTTTCCTAATGTGCAACCTGAATATGGGTTGTCGCAGCTTGAATTTATTATTGTGTGTCCTACACTCTGGCATCAGCAAGAAGAGATATTGACCTTCCTCTTTGGGACAGCCTTTGAGGTCCTTATAGAGGGATATCATGCCCCTTCTCTTCTTGAGGCTGAACCTGCCCAGTCCTCTCAGTCTCTCCTCACAGGACAGTGTTTCCAAACCCTGCATCGTTTTTGTTGCCCTCCTCTGGACCCTTTCTAATTTACCTGCATCTTCCTTAAATCTTGGTGCCCAGAACTGGACACAGTATTCCAGGTGAGGTCTGACTAGTGAGGAGTATAGAGGAACTATACTTCCCGTGATTTGGAAGCAATACTTCTGTTAATGTATCCTAAAATGACATTTGCTCTTTTGGCAGCTGCATTGCATTGTTGACTCATGTTTAGCCTATTGTCCACAATAACACCAAGAATGTTTTCTTTTTCAGTCCTGTTGAGCCACGTATTCCCCTTCTTGTATCGATGCCTTTGGTTTCATTTCCTCGGTGGAGGACTTGGCACTTGTCCCTACTGAATCTCATTCTGTTGCTTTCAGCCCGTTGTTCAAGTTGATCAAGATCACCCTTATAATGTTCTTATCCTCCTGGCTGTGCTCCCCCTCCATGCTACCTGCCTAGTCAGCATCTCTCCCTGAATAAGCAGGTACTGGAGAGCGTGCAGAGAAAGAATGTCATCTTCCCCTTGCCTTAGAGAGGGGTGGGCACTGATAGCATCATCTCAAAGACTCCCCAGGCCTGCCGTCAGGCCTCATAGATGCCCACCAAATGGATCCCTTCATTTTCCTTGCAATATGGTACCTGGCAGGACCCTAAGTGTTCAGCTTGATCTATGTCACCTAGTCTTCACTGGATGAAGGCCGAAATCAGCAGATGAGATGGGTAGGAAAGCCAGTGGTGAGAGAATTGTTGTTATTCTTTTGTGTTCTCCAAGAGGTCTGCTTTAAATGCATCAGAATGTCCACCTTCCTAGAGTCATTGATTGGGAAGGAAGGAAGGAAGGAAGGAAGGAAGGAAGGAAGGAAGGAAGGAAGGAAGGAAGGAAGGCAGGCAGGCAGGCAGGATATCAGAGACAAGCTGCTGAGGAGTTGGCTTTTCTTGGTGGATCTTCATGATGCTGTTTTCCATGTCCCACCAATTCCTGGGGAAATTTTAATGTGCCAACCAGCTGTGCTACATCAGCAGCCTGCATAATAAACATGCATGAACATGTTGGACCTTTCTACCTCACCAAACCATCCCCCCAAATGGTATTTGTTGCAAGGGAAGTGATGGTTCATAGCCCTGTTGAGAAGATCTCACAAGGGTTCAGCTGCAACGCCTCCCTTGATTTCCCCTCCCTTTTCATGCAGCAGAGTTAGTAGTGGCATCCCAGTGATATTTGGGGGAGGTGGGGGTAGATGGAAAAGAAGCTAAAATTACTCCTGCTGACAATGGTGCTCTTCGGTATCCTGACAGTCCTGAAGATCTTCAAACGATCTGAGGGAGTGGCTGAGGGAACGAAGAGTCTTCCTTACCATGTTACATAGTGACATGCTGTCATGACAAAGTTAAAATGGCAGAAGGACGTCCTGCCTTTGTTCTACTACAGCCTTCCCCAGCCTAGTCTCTCCAAATGTGGCTGAGGGATCCTGAGAGTTGTCCAAGACATCCAAACATCACCAAGCTGGAAAGCCTGTTCTAGCTTATTCTGGGGACAGTGGTGGGCAGAGGGAATGGAACCTGGTAGCCATCAGCAGTCCTAGAAGAACCATCACCACTAGGGCCCCAAAACACATGGAAAAGAAGAAGGTGACACATTTATGTAACTTCCCCACCCCCCACCCACCATCACATGTCTTTTCTCTGAAGGAAATAGTAAGACAACTTCATTTTATTGTAATCTTGTAACAGTTGGACAGTAACATGGCTGACCACAACCTGAATTTGAAAGATTGTGGACATCTACTAGAGGGCAGAAGGAGCGTGGAGGGTCAGGTTGCCTCCCTGCATCTCCCAGCTGCAAACAATTGAGGTGGCCAGTTTCAGCCATCTAATCTAATCTTTTGCCCCAGTGAATGAGGAGGAAAGGTGGAAGCATCTCCAGGACATGTCCTCTCCTGAGACAGCCTTACTCCCCCACTTCATGCCCCCCGGAACTCCTTCGAGCCTCTGGTTCCACGGTTGGTCTTCCAACCTCGGAGTCATCGCCAGCTTGAAAGAAAAGCACTGGATGTGCGGGTGGAAGGAGGGCATTCCAAGGATGGAGTTCCAGTTCTGATCTCGGAGTATATTTTCAACATCAGAGATGCGGCTCCATGGCCAGCTGGACACTGCTGGGCTGCCATGGGGTTGTGCCCCCAGGACGCAGAGCAGGAATGGGTGCGCAGTCGCTGCAGCTCCACTGCATGGCCAGCTTGTGGCAAAGGAAAGGAGGGAGGGAGCGAGGGAGTGAAAATGCAGAAAAGATGTGCTGATCTGCATATCTCTACAAGAATTACTGTGTTTTAAGCCAGTTTGGATCACTCCCTCCAATTATTAAATTGCCAGTCTGAAAGCCCCTTACCTGAAAATGAACTTAAGATAGCTTTGAGCTATCTAAGATGGATAATTATTTTTATTTATTTATTTATTAAAACATTTTTATGCCGCCCCATTCGCCGAAGCCTCGGGGCGGCTTACAATTACAACAGTAATTACAATATAATTACTATATTGTAGTGGAAGATCTCTGGCCAGTTCACAACATTAAGTCACCGTCCAGGTTTCAACCAAGGCCAGCCCTGGTTAGTTTTCAGGATTAGGCAAGATCAGGCACTTCAGGCTAAAAGGAAGCTTATGCAACATCCATATAAAATTGTTCGTACTAATCCATCTGTTGTAACTCAGACGTCTCCTTGTATCAGGGAAGGAGATCACCAGGCATTTCAATGTGTGTGTCATTCCAAAATGTTCTAAGTCTTCTCCAGTTCTTTTCCAAGCTAGTGTGAAGCCACCTCCACAGTTCAGCTCAATCGCAGTTGCCATGCCCCAGTGCTATTACTCATAGTAGAAGACAGCCTGGATGGATGGCTTGTTTTCCAATATTTTAATATAAAGTACTAGCTGCCATAATCATGTAAAGACAGGGGGAGGGGTCTTCATCCTTAGGTTATTGTCCTTCATAATATGTTAAAAGAAACATGTCAGAATCAAGAGGAACCCACGCAGGAATGGAGCTTTGGACAAGAAAAAGACTGCCTTCCCCATGGTCCTCCTCAGGACCCTGCCTGAGGTTTTGTGACATTGACCAGGACTAACTATTATGTGTGCATGCTCTGGCAAGCTGCCCAGGCACTGACCCTTTTGGCTGGCCCGACAGCTCAGATCTGAGAATGGGATGTATAAAAGGGAGTTGGACTGTCCTGGCAGGACTGACAGCTCAGACTCTGATAATGAGATGGTTGTTGAAAAGGACTCAACTCCAGCTTCAGTCCAAGGCCCTGCAGACCGCTCTGGGCCTGCTAGGGAAGAGATTAGTGGAAGGGCAGCCGAGGGGCCCAGTCAACCCGCCCACGGGAATGAAGAAGAGCAACAGCATCCCAAGGGGAGAGATTTAGAGATGGGGAGTCTATTGGATGGGGAACTCCAGCCGCCTGAGGAGGTGGACCAATAGTCCATCATCACAGTTGTAGGGTGGCCCAGTTGGGATCTTAAAGTAAGGAGTGAAGGCTTGTCGCTTCCACAGCATTTCTCCCCGCAGGGATGGGTACAGAAGGGTTAGGGTGAAGGGGGCCAGAGAGTGTTCAATATTTTGCTTTGCATATGCTCAGAAACGTACATGTAAAATAAGGATGTCTGGCAAGAAGCGCTGGTGAGACTGGTGCAGCTGGCAGGTCGCACTCGGCTCACAACACTAACAAGCACTGCTGTTGTTGTTGTTGTCTCTCGTTGCAGTTTCCTGCTTCTTCAACTTCACCACCCCTTCTGGTATTGTCCTTTCCCCAAACTACCCTGAGGAATATGGCAGCAGCCTTCACTGTGTCTGGCTGATCATTGCAAAACCTGAAAGCCGCATCCACCTGGCCTTTAACGATTTTGATGTGGAGCCCCAGTTTGACTTCCTGGTCGTCAAAGATGGCGGGACTGCAGAATCGCCTGTGCTGGGGACATTCTCTGGGAGCCAGCTGCCCTCTTCCCTGACCAGCAGTGGCCATGTCGCCAGGTTGGAATTTCAGACTGACCACTCCACTGAGAAACGAGGCTTCAATATCACCTTCACCAGTAAGTGAGCAGAACATCAAGGCGTCTGTTGCATGGATTGGTGGCACAGGGGGCCATTCTACCCACTTTTTATTGTTCAGGGTAGCAGCTTCTGGATGCTGAAGGCCAGATTGAAACCTGGAAGCAGCTGCTTCTGAGGCTCTGGGGGCCGGTGGAGAGCATAAACTGCAGCTACAAGACAGACTAAAATATGATACTTACTTGTTTTGCCTGGTTATGTGTTCAAGCTGGAGTTCAAGTCAGTTTTTTTCCCTCCACTGTATGGAAGTTTTATTTTTTATTATTTTCCATGAATGCCCCTGCCTGCTATTTCCAACATGCGGGTTCAAGGAAACAATATTCTTTCAGAGAGAATATTTGGAGGAATAATACGCTTTTGGGATGGGGCATATCCATCAGAGTATGAGGATGTGAGCAAGACCTTAGTGTGAGCTGGGGAAAGGGAAAAGGCAGCTGGCCCAAGGAGAGTTTAAAAATTTCCCTGAATTCCCAGTGCATCCCAAACATGTGCCTTCTTCCTCGGGGAAACTGAAAATAGCACACAGACTGAAAATTAAGCATGCAATTAAGCTCAATCCATTCACACAGAAAAACTGAAACCCAGAACATACTCTTCTGTTATGATCCATGTTAAAAATAGATCAAATTATATTTAATAGCAGTGTATAAAAATCTTGTTACAGTTATTGAGAATGTTTAACTTACCTTACAGTCTGCATCACGTTTTTCTGGCCTGGGAAAACTGAGTGCCCTGGGTACAGATTTATGTCAATATTGTTTAAAATCCTGGTTATATATGAGCAGGCAAAGTTAAAGGTGTCAGAGAAGTCTGCAAGGGATTCAAACAGGTTCAAATGACTGGGCAGCAGACCAGAATATTTAGAATAGTACAGATGCTGATGTCTGTACAACGTTGTTGTTGCATTGTTATGTGTCAACAAGCAATCTCTGACCCCTTTATGGCGTTATTCCATCTCGTATTTGGTCTTCCTTTTCATCTTGTGCCTTCACTTTCTCCAGCATGATGGACTTCTCCAGAGAGTTTCGCCTTCTCATGATGCGCCCAAAGTGTGACAGCCTCAGTTTTGCCATTTTTCCTTCCAGGGAAAGCTCTGGCTTGATTTGATGCAGGACCGACTTGTCTGCTTTTCTGTCAGTCCAGGGTATTCTCAAAGCTCCCCTCCAGCACCATGTTTCAAAAGCATTGGTTTTCTTCTTGCCAACTTTTTTCAGTGTCCAGTGTTCACACCCCTGCATTGTGATTAGGTATACAGTGGTTTGGATGATCTGGGTCTTGGATGCCAGAAAAACATAAAGGATCTTTACACTTGATGATCTTTTCTAGTTCCTTAATTGCTGCCCTTTCAAGTCTCGGGCACCAGGACCATTTTTATTTTATTTGTCACTATTCTGTGCAGATTTGTTTGCACAAAAATACTTATGTTGCTGGAAATGCACTGATATATGCGTGCTTTGAAAATGCAATGCTTTATGCTCTCCAACCTCAGCTTTGTGGAAATCTTTTTTTGAATGCACACTGCTCATCATTTGTGCACTGAGCTGAGGAAAATGCACAGAATTCTCCGTGCCCCAAAGAATTCTGTAAATTGGGGTGGGCTTTTTGCCTGCTTCTCCATGGGAGAAATATCTGAATCTGCTAATGAGCATGCAATGGAATGAAATACACATGATGATCCAAAAGAGAGAGATTGAATGGAGTCTGAACACCCCTAGCCAAAGCTACTCGAGAGCTGGGTGTATGGGCAGCTCACAGGCTGCTGTGACTTATTCATGATCAGGCCATCCTTTCCATGGGGTAAGTGCAACTCCCGGGGTCAGACTGCAGCCACGATGCTGGTGGGTGTCGAGGTCTGGTTCCCCCCCTGGTCCGAGTCCACCCCGCCCATACTGAGTTTGGCCATGCAAGTGCAAACGGGTGAGTGGAGAGTTTGGGCCTATTGGAGCTGCAAAAGGGATATGGAAAGGAATTGTAATCCAGATGAGGAAAAGATGGTGAACTTCCAGCTAAAACACTAAGGGCAGCTCAGCCAGAGCCAAGCAGGGAGGGCAGAAGAGCCACTCCTCCTCAAATGATGTTGGAAGCCAGATAAACTGCAACAAGGAGCAGGAGGGGAAATGGATGAGGCAGATCCCGGGATGAGGCGTCCATTGCGAGAAGAACATCAGTGAAGAAGGGCAAGAGGATCCAAGCAGTTAGCTATGAAGCAACCAGCACCACTTTAGAGGCAAATTTGAGCTGGGGGGGGGGTCCTCCCTATCCCCCTCCCCACTGCCACCTTCAGTCAGGAATCGGCATCTTTTCATGAGATTGCATTCTGTTTATGTACTGATGATCTAGATTCTAACTCAGCTTCTTTTTTGCGCTATTGATCTCTGGCTTTGCGGATTCGCATTACCATAATAAAGCTATTGGGAAATCCATCTGCACCTGCCTTCAAAAGCAAAGGGAGAGGCGGCCCTGACAGGGACCAGCATGGGGCACACAAATGTGTGGCTTTGTGGGGCCCACAGCTTCTCCAGGGGCAGGAGGCAGGGTTCCGTCTGGGAAAACCGTGCAGCGGAAAGATCACCACCCTTCTTCCAGGGCGATGACTCTCAGGCACAGTCCTCTTTCTGCGACTGAATGCATCCTTTAAAGAATCTGCAGCAGCCTCAGCAGCACCCAGAGTTTTAGGTCTGTGTAGGGCTACTTTTGGGTCCACTCTGTGGCCAAGTCACACTCATCCCTATTCAGAGTTGGAGTGGAGGCAGGCAAAATCCTCCAGAAGATAGAAGGAGCTGGGTCAGGGGACTCAGATGGGACATTTTATTTTATTTTATTTTATTTTGTATTTCCATTCCACAATAGCTTTCCCAAACAGGGTGCCCTCCATATGCACTGGGCTACTACTCCCAACTTGCATGGGCAGAACCAGGCCATCGGGGAGGTGTATGAAATGTCTAAGAGCAGATCAACAGCAGAAAGGCGAACGCAGCTTCGAGCAGCGGTGGCATATGGCCAGCAGGACCATTAGCCATGGATAGCCACCTCCTCCTGGAATGTTCCAGTTTTCCCTTTAAAGTCACCCAGACGGGCAGCCATTGTGCAGTCCTGTGGAAGTTCATTCACTGCAGCTAAATCTGCCCCTAAGGCGCTCCATCTAAAGGCACACAGTGTTAGCTGCAGAGGGGGTGGGATTTAATTTGCAAAGACCACTCATGCCTGCAGCCAAATTCTGTTCAGCCACCTGTGAGATGTGGGGTGGTGGGGGAAAGGGGGCCACGTGTGTCCAACAGAAGTGACCCCCTGTGCTCCAGGACTGCAGGTGGCCGCTGAAGCTCAGGTAGCACAGAGCCATCAGAACGAAGAGCTGCGAGAGCCTTCCTCTCAGTGACTTTATATAATCCTCTGCTGAAAGGGAACCGAATTACTGACTGGTATTACATCTCGTGGGAGCAAATACCACCTGTTAACCCTTTGCCAGGTGAAGTCCTTCCTTTTATCTGTGCTGAATCTTCTTTATTCTCTGCTTCAGGATGAGAGACAAGAAAAGTGTTTCCCGGTGCTCTTTCCCCACATGATCCAGCCTTTGATGTATCCTTGTCATGTCCCCACTTATTTGGCTTTTCTTTTCTATCCCTACAACTTTTCTTATAGGGGAATTGCCCCAGAACCCATTTGACAGTCTGCCAGAAATTTTTGCATGTCAAAAAACAAGAGAAAAATGTAACTAAGTGCATAATAATTTTTAAGGTTGCTCATTCCACATTGCTTTTATAAACATAACCAGCCACATTTTACAATAACAGAAATGTTTTTTTATCTCAAGAGTTGAAGTTACAAGCATGCAGGTCAAAGCAAAGCTTCTCCCTTTTCTCTGCTTCTTGTACATGGTTAGAAAGCTCAAATCACTCTATTCCTAAAAAGCTTCCAAACATTCTGCAACTGCATAAAATATCTATTAAATTCTGCAATGCTGCTTGAATTGGCACCACCAGGAGATCTTGTGTTCACCGATTCCCTTTCTGATGCCCACAGAGTAGCCATGAACAGCACAAATTTTGCAGACTGCTTCTGGAGAGGAGTTTTTCAGGCTGGGGTGGAAGAGTGAAGAATTGTGTCAGAAGTGTGTTTTGAAGCATTTTTGATCAGGATTTACTTAGTCTGCAGATTGCAATCTGTAGTCAACATTCATGCATGTCTGAGCTCGTGATATGATTGATGAACTGGAAAAGGCATTCAAGAGTATGCATGTATTTGAAACATGTACATGAAAAAAATGCATATTTTTGAAAAAGGCACACAAATGCACTTTAAACAATGGGAAGTGAGTACGTTTTAAAGATGCACCCCATTGCTCCATACACTTGAAAAAATGCGCATGGATCTTCACGCTGCCCCTCCCCTGCACGGCTCATAATCTGACATGGAGTTGTGTGAGAATAGACTTCCGAAGAGGATTTGGAAAATCTTGACAAGCTCAAGTCTCATTGATTTGCACTTCAGATTCTGTTTTTCTTAATGGCATTTGTATTTGGATTTGTATTATTGAGGTGATAACGGTTTATATTGATTTTGGGTTTGTTGTTGTTGTCTTCCTGGTATATGAATCATACTTTTCTGCATTGCATGTGTAAGTCCCTTGAAGATGACTTTTTTGCAGTGGTAAGCAATGTGCAAATTTAATAATGAAATAAAGGATGTGTCGAATAAACATGGCTGGATGGAGCAAGATGGGAACAAGAATTATTTTTGCATCCTCCCAAATGTGAGCCCTTTGTGCTCCAGCAGAGCGCCAGCCTCCCTCAGCAATTTGCTCTCTTGCTCCCTCCTATAATTTTCAAAGGAACATGATTACACTGGCTTGGCAGGAGTGATGAACGACCTTTGTTATAGCAGTGGTTAACAGCTCTGCAAAATTAATGGTATTTCTGGTTGGTGATTGCAAACCAGCTATTATTAAAAATAATTTGCCGTAGTGGATTAAGGGACAGGTTCATCAAAGTCAGCTAACCTGTAGAAGAAGTTGTGTGTGTGTGTGTTGCCAGTGGCTTAATGCCTACTCTTTAGGACTGTGGATGTGGAATTTGTTCACTGGGCTGGGGTGGGGAGGTTACTCTGGGTCACAATGGGAACTGAGGGAGAACACCAGATCTGGATGTTCATTAGCAAAGTATTTGCCGTTGTGGAAAAGAAGAGAAGAGGTGGAGAGGAGGCATGGTAGTGAATTTGGTAGTGAATTAACAGAAACACTGCCATCTGCAAGATACATGAAATGCATGTTTCGAGAGCTGCCCAGGGAGTTTTGGCAACTGGGCAGTGTAGAAATGTAGCAGAGAGAGAGAGAGAGAGACAGCAGAACAACAGAGCTCATGGCTTGGAAGGATGGGAGAGAGTGAAACTGACAAATTTGTCCATCCAGATAGAGGATTTTGCTCAGCATAAATTTCTGGGTTTGGGTCCTTGCTTATTCAGCCATGTTTGTGGTGCTAAATCAGGGGTGCTGCTGTTTTTTCCCCTGGCTGAGCTTCTCAACATTGACTTCTATATGTCAAAACAGCACAGCATGGCCATCTCCATGCAAGGAATGTGCTGCCTCTTGAATCTGGCTGGTATAGATGGAAAAGAATTTTGCTTGCTTTGTTCTTTGTAACCATTTTTGGCATGCAACTGCCATCCCTTGCATATATTATTATAATATATAATACAATCCCACCTAATCTTGGAAACTAAGCAGGGTCAAGCCAGTTAAAATCTCAATAGGTGAAGCACCCACAGCACTTTTGCGATGGGTGGTTTAGCAATGCACGAATGTGATGGCCTGAGTGCTTCCATGTATAGTGTGATGCCTTGTTGTTTTTATGTTGCAAGACGCTTTGAGTTCATCTGTATAATATAAAGCAGGGTATAAACAGCTGGCATAAAAGTGATCGCAATGCATTGTGGGAGGTTCTGCCGCCCCAGGGGTCACCTCTGCTTCTCACTTTCTGGATAAATTACCCCCCCCCATGTGGGAACTATTCCTCAGAATGATGACAGACACCCACACTTCAACGCTGTCGGCACAGATGTATCTTTCAACTCCACACTGGGTATTTTTCTCTGACTGACAGAATTGCTAACAGATGGCAGGAGTGATACAGGTTTCCCTTAGTACAATTCGAGATCTCTTGTGATTCCACACACATAGACACACTCATGCGTGTGCTTCCTGAAACTGGTCTCTAAAGGTAGACATAGTGGGTGTGGAGCAGGGGTTAAAGTTACAGGTTTGATTTTGGTTCATCCGCTATCTTGTTGCTTTCTTCCAGCCTTCAGACACAACGAGTGCCCGGATCCCGGAGTGCCAGTCAATGGGAAGCGGTTTGGAGACAGTCTCCAGCTTGGCAGCTCTGTCTCCTTCCTGTGTGATGAGGGATTCATCAGGACACACGGCTCAGAAACTGTCACCTGCGTCTTGAAGGAAGGCAACGTGGTTTGGGACAACGCTGTCCTGAGATGTGAAGGTCAGCTGCCATGCTGGTTTGTCAGTGTCCTTATAAGCATAGGGATGCATAACGAGTTCCATCGTTGTGAGAGCTGCAAAGAGGTGTCTTATTCCACACCTCCTGGTCTGATACACACACCGAGACTTAGTTGTCTGTTGGGTTTTGCTCCTCTTACATGGCCTCTCAAATTCAGCGCAAGATGAATTTTCAAAAGGATTACTTTTAAAAATGTGTATTTTGAGAAAGAAGTGGCATGTTATTCAGGACAGATGGAAAGCGATACTCGTCCACACGTGGCATTGCTAAACTGTTGAATTTGTGCTCGCCACCAACTCGCATGCCTTTCAAAGGGGGCTGGGCCCATTCCTGGAATGGGGCGCAGTGGCTCAGCAGGACAGGCGCCGAGCTTGTCAGAGGGAAGGTCGCAGGGCAGCAGTTAGGATCCCTCGTGCTGCACAGTGGAGTTGGTCCCATCACCTGCTCCAGCTCCTGCCGACCTGGCAGTCTGAAAGCACGCAAATGAAGGTAGACAAACAGGTACCACTTCAGCGGGAGGGGGACAGCCTCCATGTGAGAAAGCGTCAAGTTGCGCTGGCCACATGGCCATGGAAGCATGTCTAGCGGAAGTCGGCTCTTCAGCTTAGAGACGGAGAGGCTCCTAGAGCCGGGCACGGCTAGCACACACGGGCGGGGGGACCTCTGCCATGACCCTTGCCTCGAGGCAGGTTCAGCAAAGCCAGCGCTGTCAGCATGCGGCGCTTCCTGATTGCGACACATCGGCCCCAGTTTTAGACCAGTGCTGGGGTGCATCGGGGGTGGGGGGCTCCACTGTCCTCATTTTGTGCATTTGGGTGGCTGCTGCGGTGGCAGAATGCTTGCCCAGACGGGCCTCTGGTCTTTTCCTACATGCTTAGGTTCCTGTGACCCAGCATGGCTTTTCTAATAGACTTACGGCATGGTACAGTTTAAGGCGTTTTCCACATGCTTCCTCCTACTCTGAATCAAAGGGAACGTAGGAGCAGGCGAAACCTCAAATACTCTTTTTTCCTGGACAGCCTCTGGTATTGACAGCAGAATCAAAGATCATAATACTTTCGGGTCTGGCCTGCCTTTGGAGTGATTCAAAACTTCCCTGTCATCCTTGCTGTTGGTGGGCGCATTCACTCTGGTGTGGTTTGAAAGTGGTCGCCAAAGAGGGCTATTAAAAAAAAAAAAAAATCACAGGCTCATCTGAACCCAAGTCTTCAACTGACCTACAATACTGGTGTGGATGAATGAAAGTGTGCAGCGATTTCGAGATTCAAGTTATTAAAAGAGTAGCTGTTTTTCAGCCAAAGACGAGGTTATCTAGCGTGTAGAGGCTCCTGCTGGTAGAAGCTACATTAGGTCAGCTCAGCAAAGGCGCCCGTCCCGCATCCCCTTCTTCTCGTGTCCTGCCCTTTTGTCGCCCTAGATTGGATCAGCATCTCCATGTGTGTTCTGTTGTGTCCTGGGCAGGAGGCGCTTTTACGGCTGAGGGGCTGGTGGGCTAGGAACACTCCCAGGCCGCCAAGAGACGGAAGCCAGGCATTGCTGGGGCTTGTCAGACTGAGCTCTGAGCGCTTCCTAATCCAGATAGCCAATAGCTTAAGCAAAGGCTTTTATGACGAGCTCTGCCAGCTATCCCTCTAAACCTCTTTGGTGTATAGTAAGACAAGAAAGACTTCCAGAGGCAAATTACAGCAACTTCTCCCCGTAATTCTGGACTACGTGTAGCTGATCCATCTAATCCAGCAATGTGTAGGGATAATGTGAAAATGGTCTTAGTTCACTTTTCAGTCAAGATTTACTCAGTTCACACTTCCAGACTGTATATGGGTTCGGATGCTATCTATGGTCAAGGTCCATATGTTTCCAAACTTGTGGACCAAACAAAATGCATTCTGCAGCATTTGTATGTGGGAAAATGTTTACTTTTGAAAATTTCACAGAAATGTGCTTTAATCTATGGTAGAAGAATGCATGCGTTTCAAAGATGCTCACAATTGAATACACGCAAGTGGAAAGATGTGCATAAAAATGCATACAGGTTTGCATGTGAACAGAAAAAATGAAAGTAAGACTCACAACCTGATACGGACTCAAGCGAGAATGAATGCGGAGAGCCTGGCAGGTCCAGGGCTTTTGATTTGTGCGTCCTTTGTATCCACACCAGGAGTAGTTACGAGATCTGCTACTTGAGATCCACTGTAAGGGCAAGAGAGCCTCCGGTGTGCAAGCAAGCACCCGAGCTACTGCAGCAGGCTCTCTACCCAAGTGTGCTCCCCTGTGCAGCAAAACTGGTACCACTCACAGAGGAGGAGGAGATATCTGCAAGCTTTGCAGATAGGCCAAAAAGGAATTAATGGGGGGGCACCGAAAATCCCCATGAGAACTGAGCATGCGCAGTGGCTCATTGTCAAAAGGGGGGTGGAATGGGAAGCCAGGGAAGGGCAACGGAAAGACTATCCAGGAAGCACACACGGTACAGTGCTCCGGAACCCAGTAGCAGAAGGTTGAGAGCAAGCCCCCCTGCCCCCGGGTCCCTTTTCTCTCTCTAGCAGAATTAGATGAGACTTTAGAAGCACGATACTTTTACTAAAGCTTAACAGGTCACAAAATGGCATAAATCAAAGTTGCGCTCTCCTTGAGATGCGGGGGAAACATATGCCCATGTGCACAGCTGAATGCAAACCAAAACTTCCTCCCCCCACTTCCAAAAGCTCCTGACTCCACCCTCTGGGTGGCTCTTGCCGCTTGAGGGCGAGACTGTGGGAATGCCGAGTGCTTCTTCCTTGGTTTGCTTGTTTTGCCGGTTGACTCCTTCCGGGGTTGTGGAGCTCCTTCTGTTTCCTCCCCACCCAATTCTGAAATGTCTCCCTCCTTTTTCCATGCTGGGCTGGTTCTCATGCTCTGTCCAGGTAGCTTCACCTGATAAGCCTGAAATGGCAAAGCTTTTACCCCTCTGCCCCTCCACCTCTTCCTCAGAACCAGGTGAATCTATCTGAGGAGACTGTACCACATGAAATCTGGTACAGGCTTCTGCAAGAAGCTCATTGCCCTGAATCATCTTGTTTCAGCTGCAGCCTGTGTGCCCAGCTTATGAGTTTCACCCTTCATTGCTGCTCCGGTGAAAAATTCATTCCACTGCAATCACATCCAAGCAGCAATCCCCACAGAGAAGCATCAGAGCAAACAGATCCTTCCTTGTTTGGACTCCTGAGTATGGGAGATTATTTAATTTTTTTTATTTATTTAAAACTTTTCTAGACTGTCCCTTACCGTGGTCTCAAGATGGTTTAACAACAATATAATATAAAATAAAATAAAATAAAATGCAGCATCCTAATAAAATTTCCAACCAACAATAAAACCCCAGTTAAAACAATCAGATCTTAAAATATTGGGAAAATAAAAGGATTTAGCCTGACTCACTTGCAACTGTGCTGTGCACGGCTCAAAAGGTTTATTCGCGTCAGTGCATGCTGCTTCTGCTAAGGGCATGGTTCTGAGCCATTCTGCACTCAAATATGGCAGATGCTCCTGGAGAAAGACAGGCATGAATTTGCTCTAAGGGTGAGACTCTAGCTTTTATAACATGGCTTGGGACCAGGACACCTGATGGACCACCTCTCCTGGCCTCTATTTAACTGGACACTAAGATCAAGTTCTGGATCAAGGCTTTCTCTGATTGCCACCTCCAAGGGAGGCTTGGATGGTGGCAACGAGGAGAAGAGACTTTTCAGTGGTGGCCCCCCAGTTCTGGAACCAGCTCTCCATTGAGTCCCACCTGTCTCCAACTTTACTATATTTTCAGTGCCAGGTCAAAGCCATCTATTGCAGGGCATTAATTAGTCACTGGGGCCTGCTGCTTGTTAGGCAGGGCTTAACAGGATCTTTTAAATGTATAATTTTGTTTTTTGTTTTTTTTTTTTGTTTTATCTGGTTCTAAATTTTGAATTGCTAATTTGCATGCTGCTTTAATAGGTTAAATAGGCATGATTTATATAGAAACAAAGAAACAGAGCAAGTCAGAAGGGGTCTCCCGGGCCATCTAGTCTGACCCACAACTCCAGCTGGTTGCGCTCACAACATATACTTTTAAAATATGCTACTGTGAACCACTCAGAGAATTTTGTCTGCTGGGTGATATAGAAATAAAACTAAATAAATATATAAATAATAAATCTGAAGTTTATAAGAGCTAGATGTTTTGTCATCCAAGACCCTGCATCCCTTGCTTATGGCTGAGCAGAAATCAGTATAGAAAAAGAGTTAACATGATGACAAACTAAAGTCTGTGGCAGGACTTTCTTTTCCTCCCAAAGCTGTCATAAGAGTGCAAACGTTTCCTGCTCCAGGAAAACAAAGGGAAATGAAAAGAAGTCTTTTAGGATTTGAAAGACTTCTGCCTGCTCTCTGAGAGGGATGCCGTGGAATGCTCTCCTTGCAAATGTCTGAACACAAACATCCCGGAATCCTGAGCTGTAATTCCAGTGGCGGGCTGCCATGCGTCTTTAATATCCCTGGGCAACGTCACACCATGTGGGTATGGAAGGGGATTTGGTGGGCAGGAAACACAGAGGTAGTTTTCATTGTCTTGCTCATTTGGAGGTCTGCCAACATCGGTGTGTGGGTGTGCATGCGTGTGCAATTGAGATGGCACCCCTTTCTGTTGGTAAACAGGCAAGAGCTAAGTGCAAAAACGGATAATTGCCCAGCCTTTCCTGCATCCTCAAATCCCCTGGTGAAGGCCAGGACTGCCCCTGTTCTTATGAAGTGGAGAGAGGAGGAAATGTGGATGTCTCCACCCAGGAACTGTGACAGGGAAGCCCAATGCGATTGCTCTCCAGGAGGCCTGCTCTTTGCTGTGCAGGATCTCACCTGGTGATGGCTCTAAGGTGAAATTGCAAGTACCGGCTAGCAGACAGCTGCTGATGCGAGCTTCTGGCCGGTCCTCATTCTGATTAAAGAAGGTGTTCCAGAACAGGGGTCTTGGAACCCCTGTTTAACCAACCACTTGCTTCTCAGCTCAGCTTTCTTTTTTGGGTTGTTACTGCTTGCTTCCACAGTGCCCGCATGTATAAGCTCTTGTCTCTGAGTAATTCCGCTTCAGTTCCAGGAAGCATTTACTTACGTTGATTGATATCCTTGCCTTTTTGCCAAAAAACGGCCCTCAAGGCAGCCAACACTAACAGTCAGGTGAAAAACAAAACCTTAATTAAAAATTGGCAGTAAAGCAAATTAAAAGCACACAGATAAAAGAACTGAACTGCACCTACTGATGAAACCCCTTTCAGCAGCAGACTTGCATCCATGGTACATGCCTGTCTGAGTAAAACTTGTTCACCTACTGTAGGCAGGACTAAAGAGATCTGGCCAACCTGCATCCCTCAGCAGGCAGTTCCAGAGACTGGGGGCAGCAACCAAGAAGACTCCTACAGTATAGGAAACTTTTTCCACTCCAGAAAATCACTGACAATGTCAGAAAATGCTAGTGGCTTTCTTCATTTGTTTATTTTGATTTGCATCCATACCCTGTCCTTGGTTTGGTTGCAAATGTTTCTCTACTTTCTTGTATGCTTCCCTTCTCTGTCACTTTAAGTGGAGCAGGAGGAAAAAGAATATATTTTTTAAAAGCTGCTTTTCATCTTTGGGAAGCTTTGATAACCCCACTGCTATTAACATGCAACTTCTTTATCATCTATCTCTCTGGCTCGCCTTTGACTCGCCTTCCAGTGTGAGCTCAATTAAATGCAAGCAGTAATTAGCATCCCTTTTTTAATTAAATAAGGGACCATTCTGTCTAGAATATTTAAAGTGCTGCTTAACTTTTGAGGAAAAAATGAAAAGCAGAACAGAATGAGCAAAATGATTGAGATTCAGCAGGAAGTTTAGGAGGTGAGTGTCCAAAATTAAAGCTGAAGTGAAATTTGAAGCGACATTTGAGTTGCTCCCTCCCATACCAGGGGAGCTTCATGTGAAGCTAGAAGTACTTCAAAAAGCTGAAAGAACATTCTCTCAAAGAAGTTCCAGTCATCTCCAATCTCTCTTCTAGCTTCCAGCACATACTACGTTGTGGATCTTCATGTGAAAAGTGTGGTGCAGGGGAGACAAACCTGCAATTCCTCATAGTCCAGAGTTAGAACAAACCTTGGGGTAGAATTTGGAGAACTTCAGCAAACATGGGTTTTGCTGATTCCTACATCCCCTACTTGGGGATTAAAGTTTGGGCACTGACATATTAATAAAATGGTAAAAGAGACACAGCACATCCCTTTCTATGCACAAAAGAAAAACAATGGGTACAGAAAACAGAAATCCTTGTAGTTTGCTTTTTGTACTGGTCTTTTGGTCTAACACCTGCATTTTCCCATCAACAGCTCCATGTGGTGGTCATCTGACTTCTGCAAGTGGAATGATCCTGTCTCCAGGATGGCCAGGGTTCTACAAGGATTCCCTAAATTGTGCATGGGTCATAGAAGCGCAACCAGGATACCCAATCAAGATTACATTTGACAGGTGACCAGGAACTGAAATTCATTGGGCTCACATTTTAATGTGAACTCACCTACTCTTTCACTTGCAGATTAATTTGCCAATCCAAACATAGTTCTCTTTCAAAATTTACTCCCATCAGAATTTTTCTATGCAGTTCTTCAATGAAGCCATGCATTACAAAAGTGCATATGCCCATGAAATTAATGTACATAAATGCAATATGTTAGGAAAATGTTTTCAGAGATAGGTGTATTAGGCAAACATGTATAATATTAGAAATGATTTCCAACTTCCAGATGAACCAAATTTAAGATTGTAAATACGAGAAGCGGAAAGAAAACAAAATTGGCAGATTTATACCACTTTACTGACCACTGTTCTCTAAGTACTTTGAATCAAATAGTTTTCAAAATATGAAATACATCTCAACTAAAGCACCATAGTTAACAAATACTTCGGATAAAGTACTGGGCAAGCTTGAACTGGCCTGTGATGGAACCACAGTGACCTTGGCTAGGAAATAGGGGAGTCCTTCAGAAGAACTCTTCCAGAGGGAGTCTATCTGGAGCTGCAGGTTGACTGGATGCGACCCCATGTCTGCGAAATCTCATAGAGAACCTACATGCATGGAGAAGGCCATCTGCTGCAGACTGCCACTCCCCACATTTAGAAGAAAATGAGCCAGTGCACTCACCTTCACTCTGCTCCTCATGGGTAGAGTATATCGAACCATAGAATAGTAGAGTTGGACGGAGCCATCAAGGCCACCAGGTCCAATCCCCTGCTCAGTGCAGGACACCAAGTTACACCATCCCACTCAGAGGGCTGTACATCTTGAATGCTTCCAGTGCGGCAGAGCCCACCACCTCTTTAGGAAGCTGGTTCCACTGCCAAATTGCTCTGACAGTGAGGAAGCGCTTCTTGCTATCCAGTCAGAATCTGGGTTGTTGCAACTTGCATTAATTATTCTGTGTCCCACACTCTGGTATCAGCAAGAATTGATCGTGATTTTCCTCTTTGGGACAGCCTTTGAGGTACTTATAGAGGAATATCATGTCCCCACCTCAGTCTCTCTTCTCAAGGCTGAACATGCCCAGTTCTCTCAGTTTCTCCTCACAGGGCAGTGCTTCCAAACCCTGCATTATTTTTGTTGCCTTCCTCTGGACCCTTTCTAATCTTTCTGCATCTTTCTTAAATCTTGGTGCCCAGAACTGGACATGGTATTCCAGTTGAGGTTTGACTAGTGAGGAGTATAGGGGAACTCCTACATGTGTTTGGAAATAGTACTTTATTAATGCATTCCAAAATAGCATTTGCTCTTTTGGCATTTGCATTGCATAGTTGGCTCATGTTTAGTCTATTGTCCACAATTATGCTGAGATCTTTTTCTTTTTCAGTTCTGTTGAGCCACATATTCCCCATCTTGTATCAATGCATTTGGTTTCTTTTTTCTAGGTGGAGAACTTGGCACTTGCCCTTATTGAATCTCATTCTGTTGCTTTCAGGCCAGTGTTCATCAAGATCGCCCGGGATCTTCATGCTGTCTTCTAGGGTGTTTGCTATTCCATCCAGTTCTGTATCATCTGCAAATTTGATTATCTCTCCTTGTATTTTGCTCATATAAATCATTAATAAGGATGCTGAAGAGCACCGGGCCCAGGACTGAACCCTGTGGCACCCCACTGGTTACCTCCCTCTAGTTTGGGAAGGTGCCCTTGATGGGCTTTGTGTCTGATTTAACAGCCAGTTTTGGATCCACCTAATACTGTTTCCATCTAGTCCAGTTTTTGCTAACTTACTTATCAGAATGTCATGGGGCAGTATGTCAGCAGTTTTGTTAAAATCAAGGGAGATTATGACCACAGTGTTTCTTCTGGCGTTTGGGAGGTTACCCAATCAAAAAGTGAGATTAAATTAGTCTGACAGGATTTATTTTTGATAAATCCATGTTGGCTTCTATTAATCACTGCACTTTCTTTAAGATGCTTGCAGACTGATTTTTTAATAGTTTGCTCCGGAATTTTTCCAGGGATTGATGTCAGACTAACTGGTCTGTAGTTCATCTTTTTTCACCTTTTGAAGATGGGAACAATGTTAGCCCTTCTCCAGTCTTCTGGCACTTCTCCTGTTTGCCAAGATTTATCGAAGGTTATACCCAAGTGGTTCTGAGAGTTCCTCCACTAGCTCTTTTATGACTCTGGGATGGAGTTCATCAGGCCCTGGAGATTTGAACATGTTTATTCAATCGAGGAATTCCTTGACCATTTGTCTGCCAGTCTTAGACTGCCAGCTCTCACATGAAGCTTGTACTTCCTCTTTGAGGTAGATTTCCTTGTGGGAAAAGACTGAGGCAAAGGAGGAATTGAGCACCTCTGCCTTTTCCTTGTTGTCTGTTATCAATCTGCCATCCACTTTAATAGCTGGACCCCCTTCTCTTTCTCATGTCTTTTGTTCTGGATGTCTCTGAAGAAGGCTTTCTTGTTGTGCTTAGCATCCCTTGCTATTCTCAGTTCATTTCCTGCTTTAGTCTTCTTGATGCCGCTCCTGCAATTCCTTGCTATTTGTTGTTCTTCTTCCTTTGTGGCCTGGCCCTGCTTCCACTTCCTGCTTCCACTTCCTGTACATATGATCAGGAAAAGGCCGAAATTATGCTTAGGAACTGATCTGAACCAGAGTTCTCCCAGCCTTAACCTCAGAAATAGATCCCCTGTACCACGTCTGAATCCGCTAATGTGTGAAAGGACACCTGCAGCAACAAAGGAGAGAGAGTGTAGGTGCGAATGGAGCCAAATGCCTTGGTCTCATGAAAAGAGCGGCCCTTTCCTCGTGTGCCCCAGCAGGTGAGGTGCAGCAGGGGGCTACGAGGTTCTGCTTGCAGTGGCTCACAGCCAAGCATTCTGCAGCCCAAGTGGTCCGGGCAGACCAAGGCCTGCCTCACTCTCCCTTTGGTGCTGGGCAAATCTCTTCCTATTTCCCCAGACCCGTAGAATCTCACTGTAGATTTCCAAATCCATTCTGGAGCATGTTTTCTTCCCTTCTCTTCATATTTCCTCCTAAATTGGAGTTTGTTTGTTTTCACGCTGCTTCACATTTCATCGCATTACTCCTTTTCTATTCTGTAGAAACATTTGGTTGCACAATGCCCTGTAAGGACTGAAAATGAACGATACATGAAGTGCCTGAGGCCAAATTAGACGTGGCAGTTACAGAGATGCGTGCCTGGCCTTTCTTGAGCCCCACATTCACATGGTAGGAGGAGGGGAGTCTGAGCAGGCATGGGGGACTTTCTGTCTTCACGGGCTCTTCTCTTGCCCCCGCTGCAGATTCAAAACAGAGGTGAACTATGACACGCTGGAAGTGCGTGACGGCAAGTCCTATTCGTCCCCGCTGATAGGCATCTACGACGGTACCCAGGTGCCCCAGTTCCTCATCAGCACCAGCAACTTCCTCTATCTGCTCTTCACCACTGACAAGAGCCACTCAGACATCGGCTTTCAGATCCACTATGAAAGTGAGTCGGAAAGTGCAGCTCCTTACACCTGTTTGGGTAGTTACCGAGAGATGAATTACATCTCACCTTTGGAGTCAGATTAAAAAGAAGAGAGAGAGAGAGAGAGAGAGAGAGAGAGAGAGAGAGAGAGAGAGATGTTGAGGGCCAACGTTCCTCCTTTGCATATCCAAAAGCCACAGACCCTTTTTCTTGGAAAGTGCCCTTTAATGACCCAAAAGCACAGAACACTCAGAAGGAACCTCTGAGCATGCTCAGAGTGGTTCGTTGTACCCAATCGAGGATTCTCCTCCAAGTAGACTTTCTGTGAGCATGCCTGGGCCCCGTCCCTTTGGGAGGGGCCTTCTGAAAGTGAGCACCTCCTCCCCACATGCAGATGCGCTAATTGGGCCACCCCCCTCTGCTGGGGCTGGTGATGGGGCACCAGCTGTGCCTGGGACACTGCCCTGCTCTGAGTCCCTGCCCAGCAACCGTGCACCTGGGTTGGGGACTGCCTGCCTCCCTGGGCATCTGGCCTTGAGATGAGCATCTCCGCTTCTCCCACCTTCCCTTGGCCCACCTTCCCAGGCTCCCTTCAGCCCTGCTTCACATCCTGATTCTGATTCTGCTGCAGCTCAGCCAGAAGTCCTTGTGAAGGAGCACCCAAAGCAGCCTTCTTGCTCACTCCCAACAGAAGAGAAGCCAGTGGTCACTCTGTGTCTGCTTGCTCTTCACAGCAGTAAAGCTCCAATCAGACCACTGCTTGGACCCAGGGATTCCTGTCAATGGGCAACGTCATGGGAATGATTTCTATGTGGGAGCCCTGGTGACCTTTGGCTGTGACCCAGGCTACACGCTGAGTGACAATGAAGCTCTGGAGTGTGAACCTAATTTCCAGTGGAGCAGGCCTCTTCCTAGCTGCGAGGGTAAGTGCTGAACCCGAACATCTTTGGATTTGAGGAGGTGTGTGCCATGTTGGCTTCACTCCTTCACGCACCTATCCCCACTTTTCATCAAGGCGGGACCTTGTATGAGCATCATTGTTGAATTTATTTGTTCATTTCTATACTAACCAATAGTTGAAGCTCTCCTAAAGAGGAAAATGAAATTCCAAGTGCTCTCCAGTCAGCACTCTTCAGCTTCCTTTATCATCTCCCTTCCCCAATCCCCCGGTTCTTTCCTTCATTGTTAGGGATGGATAACCCACTTTCAGGGCCAGACTTTGCAGATGCTCCGATCCTTCTGAAGTGCCTAAGAAGTGGCTTCGGGCTCTGTGTGGAACCCAGGTCCCAGGGACCCCCAGGGAAAGCCCTGCCCTGAGCAGCCTTCCCATAAGGATGCAAGAAGAGCCCTGAGGCTGGACCAGACCAAGGGAATCCACCTGGCTCCTCATTCTGTTCACAGTAGCCAAACAGCTGCCCACAGAAGTCTGCCAGCAGCCCTCTCCTGGCCATGCGCCTGCATAATGTGTGTGTGAAGGCCCGTAGCCCCACACTCTGTGGATCTGCCCATTCCCACTGAGGTGGGAGCAGCTGGGGAGTCAAGCAGGAGGTGGCAAAGGGCTCAGACAACTCCTGGATGAGAACAGAGCGGTGTTGCTCCCAAGTTCAGGCATATGATTAGGAGTGCCAGCGCTTAAACCCCTAGTTTGTGTCATACTTCGGGGAAGGGTTTTCATGAAGCTTCACCTTCCCGGAGGAATCCTGCTTGGGAACAGAGGACCAGAGTCCGAGTGGATGTGCGTGTATTTGGGCCAAGGAGGGTGCCTCCTGCATGCTTGGGTCTGTGCGTGGTGTAGCTGAGGTTGCCCGGGCTGCAGGGCCCGGGCACAGAGGGTGGAAGCGAGTGGAGTGACCTGCTCTGGCAGGGAGGAGAGAGCCACTGGGACCGCAGGCCCTCCTTCATGATCTGCCGCTGCTTTGCTGGCTTCCGTCTGAGCCCTTCTTTAATGGGGATGGCTCCAGAGGTCACGATCCATGGCCCAGGGGCAGGGCAGGGAGAGCCCAAGATTACTCCCCTGGTGCCGTCCCAATGAACCAGCTGCACGGGGCTTTCCTGCATGATTGATGGTTGTAGAAGTTTTATTTATTATTATTAAAACATTTTTATGCCGCCCCATTCGCCGAAGCCTCGGGGCGGCTTACAACAATAAATTAAAAAATAATTATAATATTAAATAGAAATATTTTAATAAATAAATAAATAAATAAAAATATAAACATTAGATTAAAAATACAAAAAATACAATATAAAATAAGCCACCCTGGCCAGATAAAATCCAATAATATTAACAGTTAAAATGCCGCTTAAATAAAAAGGTCTTCGCCTGGCGCCGAAAAACAAATAACGATGGCGCCAGGCAGACCTCTCTGGGGAGCACGTTCCATAACTTAGGTGCCACCGTGGAGAAAGCCCTCCTCCGAGTACCCACCCTCCTAATTTCTTTCACGGAGGGTTCCCGGAGAAGGGCCTCTCCCACTGATCTCAAGGGGCGGCCGGGCATATATGGATGTAAGCGCTCCTTCAGGTAACCAGTTCAGAGGAGGAGCACAGAAGCTGCCGTGGGTTCCTTGCAAGAGAGAAAAGACAGGACACCAATCGCCCATAACCACATCAAACCAAACTGCAATGGCACCATAACCTATAGGCTGCCTTCCCAGACCATCCACAAATGCATTAAAATCAGTATGTGGGGAGACACTCTGGTCTTTGCTGAGCAACTGCAAGGGAAGCCAACTTCACCATCTGAGAAACCTGAATTTCAGTGCCTTCTTCTCTGTTCTCTTGACTCTGCAGCTCTCTGTGGGGGCTACATCCGTGGATCCAGCGGCACCGTCCTATCGCCAGGCTTCCCAGATTTCTATCCCAACAATTTAAACTGCACATGGATCATAGAAGCTTCTCATGGCAAAGGTACATCACTTGCCATAAATCTACATATTTATATATCTATTTATTTTTTAGATTTCTATCCCACCACTTCTTTTTAAAGAACTCAAAATGGCTGCCATCATTCTCCACCTGCTCTCCATCTTATCCCCACAACAGGTTGGGCTGAGAGTCTGTGGGGTGATCTGGGGAGGCAGCTGAGACTTTCAAAGGATGTCAAGAGCATCAAAAGGGGCTTCTACCTTCATGTAAATAGGAAAAGGAAGGGGAGACAGGTGGTGGGACCACTTAAAAGGGAGGGAGGGGACCTGGTAACCTGGTAACTCATGTCAGGGAACAGACACAGAAGTTAAATGATTTTTTGCTTCTGTGTTCTCCCCAAACTGGGTTGGGGGAGATCTACCTGCGGGGCTAGATGAGGTTGAGGTTATGAGGGCACCGATCAGAGTCACCTCCCGAGAAGTCAAGGAGCTCCTCAGGATGCTGGATGTTACAAAAATGCTGGGTCCTAATGGGCAACACGCAAGGGGAATTGGCAGGGATACTCTCGTGGCTGTTGGCCTTCATTTTTGAGGCCTCATGGAAAATGGGAGAAGTTCCAGAGAACTGGACAGTGGCATCAGTGGTTCCAATTTTCAAAAAGGTTAGCAGAGGAGATATGGGGAAATACAGGCCATACGTCCATTCTGGGAACGGCAATGGAAAGATTCATAATAAGGTTCTGAGGTGGCTAGGCAGAGGGGACACACGGGATGAGGTTTACCTGGATTTCAGCAAGTCCTTTGACAAAGCACAGCATGATATCCCGGCTGAGAAAGTGTTGTGCTTTGGGATAGATCGATGCACTGTCCGATGGATTAGGGCATGGTTGACGGACTGTAGGCAGAGGGTGACTACTGTGGCAGTTAAGAAGGGAAATGTCACCCTGGGATGTATAGCCAGAAGCATGGCTCCCAGATCCAGGGAGGTGCTGATACCATTCTACAGACCCTGGTGTGCCTGCAACTGGAGTATTGCATCCAATTCTGGGCTCCAGAACTATGTCTCTAGCAGAGACATAGCTAGGCTACGATGGGTTCAGCACAGGGTCACAAGAATGGTAGTCACATTGGGAGGGGTGACATATGAGGAGAGATTGAGGGAACTGGGTCTTTTCAGCCTGGAGAAGAGGAGACTCCAAGGGGATCTTTTAGTGACTTACAGGTATGTGAGGGGATGTCATGTGGAGGAGGGCCATGAGCTATTCTTCCCTGCAGTAGAGGGCAGAACGTGTTCCAATGGGGCAAAGCTCAAGGAGCCAGGCTTCGGGTTGGATGTCAGGAAGTACTTCCTGATGGTTTGGACCCCTAGGATAGGGAATGGGCTTCCAAGAAAGGTGGTGCAGGCCCCATCAGTGAGGATGTTCGAGGAAAATTGGGTAAGAACATGTTGGGGATTGCATGAGTGGAGCTGGCTGGAGCCGGAGGCTGGACTAGATGGCCCTGGAGCCTCCTTCTGACTCACTTTGTTTCTATGTGTCTATGTAAGTAGGCACCAGGTACACCTCTTTGGGGAGCTCATTCCAAAATCGGGGTGCCACAACTGAAAAGTTCCTCCTCCCGGTAGCCACTCACCTCATTTCCTTTGGAGGGGAATCCTGGAGAAGGACCCCCAAAGGTGATCTCAGGTTCTGGGTAGCTACATATGGAAGGAGGCAATCCTTTCTAATCCTGGCTGCAAGCCATTTAAGGCTTTCTGTGTTAGTACTTACACTCTGAATCCGGTCTAGACTTCAACCAGCAGCCAGTGCAGCTGGAGGAGGGCTGGTATGATGTGTTCTCATGAGCCAGTCCGCATTAACAGTCTTGCTGTCCTGTTTTGGATCAGTTGAAGTTTCTGGGCTGCTTGTGATAACCCTGAGAACATGGACCACTCCCTCATCCCTGACAGTTGGAGTGCCTCTAAAACCAACTAATTTCTAATTAACCCTTCTCTGCCTCCCAAGGCCTTTGCTACAAGATCTGTAATAGATATATGCTATTAAGTTAGATCACTGCCCATTTTGCATTTGCAATGGAGAGGAAAATTCACACACAATCAGAAACCTTTGCTTGGTGCAGAGACAACAGTGGCATGAACAAAATGTTAAACAAGCAAAGTCAGGGCTCTTCATTCGCAAATCTCTCTGGGCTGATGTTTTGAAACTGCATTTTGAACAGTGTTCTCAGAGTGATGTTGACACTTATGTCCCTGGGGGCAGATTGGAAGCAGCACCAAGTTCGAAAGAGCAAGATAAGATGTCAAAACGGGCTGGGTCCATTTTGCTCTGCCTATGGCATAGTTTGAGATGTTTGTCTCCGGGCAGACTAGGACAACCTCTCCCCAAGTTCCCTCTCTGCACCAGATTATCATTCCTCTCCCACCAGCCTGGTTCTTCTGCTCTTTCATGGTGCCTTTGACAAAGTAGGATGGAAAAAGTGCAGCTACGAACTGCCATGCTGTTCAGAGGAAGAAAGCGAGAGAGAGAGGCGCGTAAGCGCACATTAATTTTGAGCTGCCTTCAGCGTCTCTGCTCTTCTAGTCCTGTGAGATACCGACACAATGGGAGCCGCTATCAATCAGCTCTGTGATGCCAATTGTATCAAGGCAGATAAACCCGTTGCTGAAAAGCACAGCACATTAGTGGAGGCGTTACACACAGAGCACGGTTTCCCACAGAGCAGGAGAAATCCACTCTTCTTTAATCCACTCAGCCCTGGATTCTCTTTTGACGAGCGGCCTCTCGTTATCCCGCTGCACATTTCAGGCACATGGTGCCTGGCACTCTCCTGTAAGATGTAATTCCCACGGCACCTTGTTTTCCGGAAGATCAAAGAGAGGCTTTTGGTCACCCTGTGGGAGAACCATCAGTGAGCCGTGTGGGGTGAGTTGATCGTGGGATTCCAGAGGGGCTGGCCGTATCCCAAGTCATGCTTTCAATCCATCTAGCCAAGCTTGGCTTTCACTGGCTGGCAGCAGCTCTCCTGGGTTCAGGTGGGAGCTTTTCCAGTCCTGCTGAAGATGCTTGGCAATCCAAAAGCACAAGTCCCACCCCTGAGCTACAGCTGCACCCAGCCCGCACCTGGGCTATGCCTGGGAGCCCTTTTGAATTATGCGTAAAGGTTCAGAGGGAATTATGATGGCAGAATCAGAAATGGTTGCTGTAAGCTTTCATGCTATGTATCCCAAGCATGGTCTCAGATCTCTGAACTGGGAGTCCAAATAACTCTCAGATCAGCAGCAGGTTGAGCACTAGAAGCTGGGACTTCAAGAGGGCCAACTTTGGCCAACTGAAGGCCAGACTGGGGAAAGTCTCCTGGGAGAGGTTACGGGAAGGCAAGGGAGTTGAGGAGGGGTGGATGGCACTCAAAAGGGAGGTTTTGGAGGCGCAAGCCTTGACGATACCTCTAGTCAGGAAGGTGGAGAGGCGGAGGAGAGCGCCGCCATGGATGTGAAAGGAGGTAGTTAAAGGGATTAGACAAAAGAAGAACCTCCGTAGGAAATGGGTACTGGGGCAAATAGACAAAAGGGTATACCGGGGGGAGGAGGTCCGTTGCAGAAGGATTCTTCACAAGGCTAAGGCTAATTACGAGCTGAGACTTGCCAAGAATATCAAGAGCAATAAAAAGGGCTTCTTTCAGCATGTAAATAGGAAGAGGAAGGGGAGACAAGTGGTGGGACCACTAAATAAGGAGGAAGGAGGTCCAGTGACTGATATGAGGGAACAGGCACAGATACTAAATGACTATTTTGCCTCTGTGTTCTCCCCAAAGCAGGACGGGGGAGATCCGCAAAGATTAGATGAGGCTGGGAACTTAGGGGAACAGATTAGAGTCACCCCCCTTGAAGTTGAGGGGCTCCTCAGGGTATTGGACATTACGAAGGCACCAGGCCCTGATGGGTTACACCCCAGAGTACTTAGAGAGTTGGCAGGCGTTCTCTCACGCCCGCTGGCCTCCATTGTTGAGGCCTCATGGAGAACGGGTGAAGTTCCAGAGGACTGGAGGGTGGCATCAGTGGTCCCAATTTTCAAAAAGGGACGTAGAAGGGACATGGGGAATTATAGACCTGTTAGCCTTATGTCCATTGTAGGAAAAACAATGGAAAGGCTCATAATAGAGAGAGATCTAGTGATGCTAGATAGGGAAGGGAGGCTGACAGCCACACAACACGGCTTCCACAAAAACAGGTCCTGCCAGACAAACCTTGTGGAACTCTATGACAAGGTTTCGAGATGGCTGGATGGAGGGGATGCAGTGGATTTGGTATACCTGAATTTCAGCAAGGCCTTTGACAAAGTGCCCCATGATATCCTGGTGGAGAAACTGAGGAGTTTTGGAATACACCAAAGCACTGTCCGGTGGATTAGGGCAAGGTTGACTGACCAAAAGCAGAAGGTTACCATTAGTGGGCAATCATTGGGATGGCGGCCAGTGACAAGCGGGGTCCCCCAGGGCTCTGTCCTGGGGCCGATCCTGTTTCATTTTTTCATCAATGACCTAGGGGAGGAGGTGAGAAGTCTGCTGATCAGATTCGCAGATGATACTAAAACGGAGGCAGTGGCCACAACTGAGGAGCAGGTACTCCAGATCCAGAAGGGTCTGGACAGACTATGGAAGTGGGCAGGAGACAACAGGATGGCGTTCAATGTGGATAAGTGCAAGGTCTTGCACTTGGGGCATAGTAATGGGTGTCATAAGTACAGGTTAGGGGACAAGTGGCTGGAGAGCAGCACTTGTGAAAGGGATCTTGGGGTACCGGTTGACTGCAGGCTAAACATGGGTCAGCAGTGTGATGCGGTGGTCAAGAGGACGAATGCCACCCTTGGTTGCATAGCCTGAAGTGTGGCTTCTAGATCGAGAGAGGTATTACTACCACGCTATACGACTCTGGTGCACCCGCAACTGGAGTATTGTGCTCAGTTTTGGGCCCCTCATTACAGAAATGATATAGCCAGGTTGGAGTCAGTGCAGCGTAGGGCCACAAGGTTGGTGGCTGGTTTGCAG